TGCTCAAGATTATTTTGATCATAAATTAGATTTTATTCATCAACATAAACAATATCAAAAATTAATTATTAAACATGGAGAACCTTTTTTTAACAAATCAAAATCAGGTTAATACCGTTTTTTTCTTTTACATATTTATATATATATATCTATTTTTTTAATCTTATTCAAAGCAAAGAAGATTTTCATTAAATTAAATTTGCTTTTAAATATTTTATTGTTGACGTTCGAAGTACTAAGAATTCTTATCCGATTTATATTTGACATATGATGCAGCCTGGATTTATAACCCTAGGAATATTGCTTTTCTTTTAAATTCGAGATATTTGTATAGTCAGATTGTTTATTTATTAGAATGAGATATTAATCATAGGTACTATCATAGAATTCTATATGAATAAGATCTATCGTCATAAATTGTAGGCCAATGAAAACACTAGTTTATTCCCTATATACCAATTCAATTGAATAAGAAGAAAAACGTTAAAAGATTATTTTTTTCATATGTTCAAATATTTTTTATGCATAGATTATTAATGTGAGATACTCGAATTATGTTAATCAATGATATGAGTTTTTCTTAGAATTGTCTGAAAGGTTGACAAGTTTTTGAGAAGATTGTTTTTCTTGTTCATATAATAAAAATGTTTTATTGGAAATGCATCTATCTATTTTTTCCATGACAAATAGAAATTTGAAAAACCTTTACTTAGTTATAATCTTCACTTTTGTTTTGATTTCATCAATAAAAAATCAAATAAATTTGTGATGATTGTCTTCAAAGCAAGATATCCTCTTTCAAAAACATTTAATCAATTCAAATAAGAAGATCTATTTAGATATTTTCTATTAATCATTGAAAAATGAGATGTTAATCGAATATTTAGACAAATGTGAATGAGAATAAATTAGAATAATAAAATATTAAATAGTAATTGTATATTTGTAGGAATTAAAAAGCTCTTTATATTCGTCAAGATTTATTGAAAGTTCAATTTGAACTTGCCGATGAAAATGATATAAAAATTGAAAAGAAAATTCCATCATCAATGACAATAGCAAAATTAAAAACATTTGTTCGTCGATTATTTCCATCACAATTAACAAATGATATTCAATTTAATTTATTTGTTATTATTGATTAAAAAAACATAAAGAACTTATGTCAAATGATTATCAAGATATTCAATTTTATTTAGGAAATTCTTTTCTTAATAACAATAATGATGATGATCGACCTTCGATTATCAGAATTGAAACTATTTAATAATATACACTATTCGAACTTTCTTTTCTTTTTTATTTATATGTTTTAAATAAAATGTCTAACATTTAAAAAATAGTTTTCATTTGTCAAAATTTGAAATTTCGGCTCAAAAAGTTAATTAACGTTTTCTATGAGCAAAAAAAGTTCGATTGGAAAATTGCCATTGTCATGATATACATCAAATCAAAGTAACATATTGACTAATATATATTGTAACCTTTCATTTTTCACCAGCACCTATTGAGTAATTTAATTAGCACTAATTTAGTTTTCAGCCGAATTCAACTTTGAAGTTCGTTATAGTGAAATTTACTAAGCTGATATGATAGACATGACAGAGCAATCGTCCCTTAGAAATTTGGTTGCTGTTGATTTATCCTAAAAATCGTGTGGTATCCAATGATAGTATGTGACAGGCTCCGTTTCGCTTTTGAATTACGTGTGATCGATGTGCATCTCTGATGCGTTTATATCTTTGCATCATCGTTTTGCCAATGCCTGATGAAATATCTTTAACGATTATCATATTCTATTGTTCATTATTCAATTCGATAATCATCGTTTGACTGTGTCAAGAAGATTCTTTTCTGGTCAACGTTTTTCAATTATATTTCAATAAGATTGATCACCTCGCAGTGAACATATTCATTTCAGTTTTTCGATACATTGTTCAGGTCTTAGAAAAGGGTGTGGGTGTGGGCTTCACGTGTGAACGTAATACATAATTACATCCACACTTACATTGAAGACGATATTGGCTAATATTATTGTTACATATCATAAGTAAACAAGTCTAATGGACATTTTATTATTATTATTATATTGAATGACTAATGATCAAATAGTGTAGAAATGTAGAGTTTTAGTTTTATTATCATTCTGTATAAAAAGAAAACTTCTTCAAGCATTCTATAAGAAATTGATATAGCTCCGTAAAGACTTTTGGTATATCCTAAGTACATATAGTGTTTATCCGAAGTCTTTTGAACAATCGATTGCTACTTGGCAAACAAATAATGTTTGTTTTTTATCCGCATGACTTAGCATTAAGTGTGAATGGTTGTTCACTGTTTGTTAATGAAATTCATTCAAATCGTATTGATTCATTTGATATTCTTAATTAATTATCCTGAAAAAATACTTTCCTTTCTTTCTGAGCATTAATCAACAGTCATTCTTTTGGTAGGAATCATTCAATAAGAATAATAAAGGAATTTACAGTTCACCACCGATAATATATTTAATGGAAAGCCTTTTGTTTTTAACTGTGGAACATCAGTTTTTGATTTGATAAAAAAGAGAAACGAATCAATTAAATTATTTTGTTGAAAATATATGATTATTTCAATTGACAAGACCTGGAAAAGGCATCCCAATTGACTTTCAAATCAGTAACATATAGATCAATTCTTGTTGTGAATTTTAGAAGTAGAAAAAAGATATCTGAATATTTTGTTTAGACTATCGTATCTGAATAAAACTCTTGGTAAGACTAATACTTCAAATCTTTGACAATTTTCGAACATATTTACCATTTGAAAATCACTGGACACAATGCTGAAATCATCAACATAGATGACTTAAGCAGTTATGAAACATTTCTAAGCAAAGAAAATGATCATTTTCAGAGAGCAAAATGCAACAATAGAAGATAAAATGTTATCCATGATATTAATAATACTTACATAAGAAAGACGATTAGTTATTCGAAGAGAAAAAAAGCTTTAGAAAATGCTGTTCTTCATAAAAGACACGACCGTTTCAGAAAGCGATCTCTAATAATTTAGGATTTATTTTGAAATTCTTTTTAAAAGGTCTCATAGAAATGAAAAGTTCACTGCAAATGGTCATCAAGAGAAGAAAATCTCTCTAAATATCGTCCTTTCGAAGTTTTTAAATATGATCATGAAGTCGATACGGATAATGAAGCATTTGCTTATTTATTTATTTATTCATATTTAGCAGCATTTTCAGTTTTCTACGATTAAATTTACCTCCCATTCCATTAGAAGATAATCCAATGGCTTGTCATAAAACTCATTTTTCAAGTTGTGTACTATTTGATAGATTTAGTGATTGAGACAGATACTCAAAGAGTACATTTCGATGAAAGATTTTATCTTGCAGTCAAATATCTTACTCAGAGATTATCTACTAGAATATTTATAGGAAATTTTGCAATTCATTTTTAGATTGTTTACTAAATTAAGTAAACAAACAGGTATTACAACTTAATTTCTTCAAGATCTATGAAATCTCAGTTACTGTTGGTTCACTGGTCATATCAAACTTCCAGTAAGTGATAATCTGCTGACTAAGTGATCAAAGAATAACGTAATATGGCTCAAACCCATCGATAATTATTATCTTAAGACGTAAAACTATCTTCTAAGAAAGAATATTTTTTTAGATTTTAGAGAAGTCAATCAAGTAAGAAGACCACAACGAAAATATTATTGCTTACTGTTTTCAATTTTCTTTCCTTCTGCACTTTCACAAATATATGAAACAAAGAAAACATAGAAAATCAAACAAATACAAGTCAAGATCACATCTCTCGCTGCATAAATCAATGAAAACTTTTTTCTACAATGTTTTAAATTTATAAATCTTTTTTTTAAATTGTTAACAAAATATTGTTTTTTTTTCACATTAATATCACAACATACATTATTATGTGTAACTTTTATAGTGTAACTGATTACTAAAAAGAAAAGAAAACAATGATTTTGAAAGTTTTAGT